CCCTCCCAGGCTCTCAAACCTGGGAGGGAGGGGGAGACTCCGAGTGGCCGCGGCGCGGGCGCCGCTTCTCCCCCTCTCTCACTCCCTCCTAGGCTTGAGAGCCTGGGGGGAGGAGGCAGGGCTGGGAATTTGGGGAAGGGGCGGAGTTGAGGCGGGGCCGGGGGTGGGGTAATTAAAAACCGGGGGGGGGGGGCTCCAAAATTGTTTTTGCTTTGGGCGGCAAAAATCCTAGAGCCGGCCCTGGGAATAAGTGACTGGTCCTTTGGGACTGGGAGTAATCTGAATATTTTGTGATCTTTGATGTAAAGTGACCATCTGTCACAGAGACAAGCTTGTCTGGGTGGCAAGGTAGATCAGAATGACCAAAGGGTCTGTGATTCTATGTTAAGGCTGTATAGTACCTAAGGAGTTTACAATTGTTAGTTGGTTGGTGAAATCTAAGTATAGAACTCGCAATAACACTAAATATTCTAGACAAAGCAGATTTTTTCCTAAAAATTCAGTATTCTTCATGTACAGTACATATACTTACTGAAAGTACAGTTTCTTTAAGTTTTTGCTGTAAAAGTTCCATGCTTTGCCACATAACTCTTCAGTCATCTAAACAAATAATGTATTATATTAATACACAAATTAAAAAATGGTATTGCATAGTGAATGCTTAAAAAGTAGCCAAAAATACTGGCAGTTTTATTTTCCATATTGATCAATGCAAATTAAATGGTACAGTTCAAAGAAATTCATGTTCAGATACAATTTTCTGTCTATGAAATTTTTCTATGTATCTTTCTTCCCCTATCAACTTCTTTCAATATAAACCTGCTTTTACAGGCATAAAATCTGAAGGCAAAAACTAAATATAGAACTGAACTGTACATATGAAGAAGGCATTAATCTAGCTCAATGTCAGCATTTCTTCCCCAAAATTCACTGTTTTACTGATAAAATATATTTAATTGCTAGAAACATTCTATCTTTTCTTTTAAATTCTTCTCTTTTACTTTGCGCTTTGCTAGAATTTAATAACCTTATTAGGGATGTCAAGTGAGTAAAAAAATTAATCATGATTAATTGCGCTGTTAAACAATAATAAAATACCATTTATTTAAATATTTTTGATGTTTTCTACATTTTCAAATATATAGATTTAAATTACAACACAAAATGCAAAGTATACAATTCTCACTTTATATTTATTATTGATATTTATATGGATCTATTTAAAATGCACTCTTCCAAAATCTTTTTACATGTAAAGATTTTTTCTGTAATTTCATAAATTATACAGGACCACTGCCCAATTCTAAAAAACCTTCTTCATTTCCTTTGCCAATTACCTTAATATTCTTATTTAGTAGAATCAATCAAACCAAATAATACACAGAACCTCATGAAACTGAAACTGGGTCCAGATGCACTTGGAAAGATTGTAACATAGAAGTAAGTTCATTACATTGGTAATTCTGTCCAATTTTGATAAAGACGCTACCATTTTTGGTGATGTACCATATGCATAGACAACGTGCCAATATGAAGATGTACATTTTGGAAGATCATAAAACTAACAAATAGAAACAAATGCAAGGTACCACCATTCCTTCACATAAACTACAACAGAAATGGCAGAATCATGAAATAAACTTGAAGGCAAAATTAAACCCTTCTGTATTGAAAGATTTTTTTAAAGTACAGATTCAGTGTAATTGCTCAATGATTGTTACCAGCTGTTCATCATTTAGTCCAAAAAGGATGTGCAAATAAGTTTCTGAAATCCTCTTTAATTTTGGCCTCAAGGATGAATCAATACATGTATCCCTGCAAAACAAATAAACAAAAAAGCAAATCATGTAAACCACATTAGTAACACTGAAGGAAAATTAATCTCCTCTCTACAGCTAATGGTTTATTTAATACCCTTACTACCTTCATTCCAACTGTGTTAATGAGCCAAATTATGTTCACCTACTATATGAAAACAGATTAAGTTCAGTGCTATGTTCAGAGATACAGTTGAGTCATTTGGGGTCAAAATTTAACTCATCTTTAAAAAGATATAACCTAATGGAAAATGCTCAAGTTACAAAATATTTTTCCATTCTTAATGCTGATTTTTTTTCAAACAGTCACTATTTATGTATGACTTACAGACCTTCATGCAATGTTTTCTGCTGATGCAGAGTAGTCTGTGAGCATGCATAGGAAGTAAAAGTAATTAAAAAAAAACTTAATCCCATAACCAAATGAACAAAACACAGCCATGTTGATTTATACTTCCATGAGAAACACGGGAAAAAAATAATGTTTGTCAGAGGATAAAATCAATAGAAAAAGGTCCGGCACCAGCCTCAGCCACCAGCTCCTGGCCCTATTCCTGGCTGTGACTCCATACCTGGCCGCGACCCCAGATACGGCCCCAACCGTGGCCCCAGCTGCAGTTCTGGCCCCAAACACCGGCCCGCTGTCGGACACGGCGCCTGGCCCTTACCATGGCCTGGTAAGGGGGAGCATGAACCAGGTAAAGGGGGGCGCAGACAAAAAAGTTTGGGGACCACTGTCATAGAGAGCTCCAGGAGGGGGTTTAGTATGCAGAGAGACTGCACAAACTGCACCATACCAATGGATGGTGCTATCTGCTCTATAGGTCAACTGGTCCATTCCATGGGCTGGTACAGAGGGAGGTAGGGACACGGCCCCATCTCCTCCTCACCTCTCATCCCTTCAGGGTGAGGTGGGACCCTGATGGCGTAGGGAAGCAGCAACTACTCCATGTGCTACTCCTGAGGGCATTCTGTGCTAAAAAATTTAAAATTGTGCACATAGTATTTTAAAATTCTGCAAGTTCTATTTGTCAATAAATAAATGCAGAGGCTCCAGCATGGCAGTGAGGAGAAAAGGCCACTGGCTGCATCCTGCAGTCCCCCCACCTCCACCCCAGGACAAGGACTCAGCGGTGAGGCTGCACCAAACCCTGACACAGCACAAGGCCTGGGCCTGCCCCAAAAACACCCTGGGGCCCTGCCCCTCTGTACCAGGTGCACTAGATGTGGGGCAGGCAGGCTCAACCAGGCAGGATCCAAGTGTAAAGGGGCTCAATGTGGGGGTATCCAGGTGTGAGGTGAGAGGGTACTGTGTGGGACAATCTGGGTGCAGGCAGCTCAGTGGGGGGTCTAGGTATGGGGGGATCTGGACGCACAGAGGCTCACTGGGGGGGTTCCAGATGCAGGGGCAATGGGACTCTGCAGGGGCTTCCAGGTGAAGATGGTTGGGGCTCAACGGCGGGGTTTGGGTGTGGGGGGGTCTCAGCTGGGGGAGTGGGGGTTGGTGGGGTGGGGTCTAGGTGCAGCTAGTTGGGGGTCAGAGGTGTGGGTGTCTGGATGTGGGGGCTCATGGTGGTGCGGGGGGTGGCTTGTGAGGGTGGGGGTTTGAGTGCAGGGAGCTCAGTGGGGAGTGGTCTAGGGTCTGGAGGCAGGGGGTCTGGGTGCCAGGGGCTCCAGATGATGGGATTAAGGTTCAGTGGGGTGGGGTTCGGGTATGGAGTGCTAGGGGGTTCTGGGTGTACGCGGTGAGGCTTGGCAGGGGTGTCTGGGTATGGAAGGTCCAGATGCACAGGGGTTGGGAAGATGGGGGAGCAGCTCCCCATACAGTGACCCCTCCCCCCCACAACTGAGGAGTGATGAGGGCAGGAAGCAGGGGAGGATGCTGAGCTTCCTGCAGCTGGGGGAGGTTTCTTGAGGTGGGTCTGACACAGCTCCAGCCATTCCTTGCAGGGGAAGAGGAAGTCCTGTCCTCTCCTGTCTCCAGCCCAGCCAGGACTAGCCGATCCCGGCTCAGGGTAGGAGCCACTGGCTGGGGTATCTCCTGCCCCGCAGTGATTTACCTCTCCTGAAATGATGTACCTGTGCTGCTAGGGAGTGGCGTATGACTGCTCTTGCAGCTTCCCTTTCCTTCTCTGTCAGGAAGTCTTTTTTCTACGGGGAAACAAAGAAATCTGCAGGGGACATGAATTCTGCGCACACGCAGTGGCACAGAATTCCCCCAGGAGTAATATGCAAAGACTACAATTGTGTGTGACCCTTGCACAGGGTATGTAAGGGAGAGAGGTTCCATTAATATTTCCCCTCCCACCTGTGCACCTGCACATGGGCGAGTCACAGACTGGCCCTATGAAATCAAAGCCACTTTTCTCCATTATCTTTTGCTCCACCTCTCCTTTTGCCATCTTTAGTCCCCTAACTTCTCTAGCTGCTGTCTAACTCTGAGCACCAACTATGCCTTTTTGGGCCTGATCCAGTGAAGTGCTGAACACCTCCATTTCCCACTGACATCACTGGGTGTTAGCATGCTCAGCACTTCACAGGAACAGTCCCTTAGTAAATAGGATGCATCAGTGATGGCAGATGCATTGAAGCAGAAACCTGAGAAACTGCATGTTATATAGTCATCCAATCTGTCTACATAATATAAACTTTAATACAAATTGATTTAAAACCAATCCAGCTCTCCTTCTTTGATAAAATTCCCACTGGCCTCCAGAATGTAAGCCTTTGTAGAGAGTGTGTTACTAACATCTTAGTCAACAAAAATGCTCATTTTCTCTTTTTTTCCTACATCTGTTCTTTCTTTACACTGAGGAGAGGGATATAATATTTGAGGCTTTCCTACAGATTATTCTATAGCTCAAATTAATCATTATGATAGTTTAACATTCCAGGTTTCATTATTGCACTCATTATCTCTAGGAATAAAGCTGTGCACCTGGAAAAGCTCTACTTGGTATAAAACACAGCAACCTAGCTGCTCAGGAACACAGGTCACCAAGAGCACATCAGACTGCTTCTCTGCTCTCTGAACTGGCTCCCCCACAAAAAAGAGTCCAGTTCAAGATCTCTGTCCTAATATTCAAAGCCCATATAGACTGGACTTAAGTACCACAGAGATCACCTCTTCACAAGCATGACCTCACATGAATTATACTGGAACCATGAAACTATTCACCTATAAGTGAAGGATCTTGAATGAGAAGACAGGACTTTCATAGGAGCTGGACCTACATTACTGAATTTATTCTCACAAAAGGTAAGTACAGCCCTGGGGCCTCACCATGTTCAAAACTGAATACAAAACTCATCTTGTCGACTTGGCTTTCCCACAACAAGCTAATCAGACATACATACATTCTCTGTCTCTCACATACCACAAACTATAAACTAATCAAGATATTTCTCCTACACACTGAGAAGGAGAAAAGTAAGAGAGCAAGTCAGACTGTTATTGTGATTTCTATTTTGAAGTACTTGGAAGGCACTCAGATACTATAGTGACAGCGCCAATATATATTTAGATAGTTAGTTAGTTATTAGGGCCCAATCCCACCTCCAGCGAAGTCAGTAGAAATATTCCCTTTGACTGCAGTGTGAATGAGATTAGCCCCTTAGCCTGGAGTTTCTTTTCCCTTACTGTGATGCCTAAGTTTCAAAAAGAGAGAGAGGTGAGAAATAAAAACTGGAAAATAAGTCTCTGAGTAATTCAATACATTTAGAGCCACATCCTTAGGTGGTGTAAATCAGCACTGACTTCAATGAAGCTATGCCAGTTTACACCAGCTGGGGATATAGCCCATAATAACAACGAGGTGGCACCTTAAAGACTAACAGATTTATTTGGGCATAAGCTTTCATGGGTAAAAAACCCACTTCTTCAGATGCATGGAGTGAAAATTACAGATACAGGCATAAATATACTGGCACATGAAGAGAAGGGAGTTACCTTACACAGGGCCGGCTCCAGGCACCAGCTTACCAAGCAAGTGCTTGGGGCAGCCACTCCGGAGAGGGGCGGCATGTCCAGCTGTTCGGCGGCAATTCGGCGGACGGTCCCTCACTCCTGCTCGGAGCGAAGGACCTTCCGCCGAATTGCCGCCGCAGATCGTGATTGCGATCGCAGCTTTTTTTGTTTTGTTTTGTTTTTTGTTTTTGTTTTTGTTAGGCTGCTTGGGACGGCCAAAACCCTGGAGCCAGCCCTGACCTTACAAGTGGAGAACCAGTATTGACAAGGCCAATTCAGTCAGTGTAGATGTGGTCCACTCCCAATAATTGATGAGGAGGTGTCAATATCAAGAGAGGGAAAATTGCTTTTGTAGTGAGCCAGCCACTCCCAGGCCCTATTCAAGCCCAAATTAATGGTGTTAAGTTTGCAAATGAATTGTAGCTTGGCAGTTTCTCTTTGAAGACTGTTTTTTAAGTTTTTTTTGTTGAAGGATGGCTACTTTTAAATCTGTTATTGAATGTCCAGGGAGATTGAAGTGTTCTCCTACTGGCTTTTGTATTTTACCATTCCTGATGTCTGATTTGTGTCCATTTATTCTTTTATGTAGAGACTGTCTGGTTTGGCCAATGTACATGGCAGAGGGGCATTGCTGGCACATGATGGCATAAAGCATATTAGTAGATGTGCAGGTGAATGAGCCGCTGATGGTGTGGCTGATGTGGTTGGGTCCTATGATGGTGTCTCTAGAGTAGATATGGGGGCAGAGTAGACAACGGAGTTTGTTACAGGGATGGGTTCCTGGGTTAGTGTTTCTGTGGTGTGGTTGCTGGTGAGTATTTGCTTCAGGTTGGGGGGCTGTCTGTAAGCGAGGACTGGCCTGCCTCCCAAAGTCTGTGAGAGTGAGGGATCGTTTTCCAGGATAGGTTGTAGATTGTTGATGATGTGCTGGAGAGGTTTTAGCTGGGGGCTGTTCTGTTATTTTCCTTGTTGGGCCCAATAAGTGGGGTTTTTTACCCACAAAAGTTTATGCCCAAATAAATCTGTTAGACTTTAAGGTGCCACCAGACTCCTCGTTGTTTTTGTGGACTGAACACGGCTACCCCTCTGATACATAGCCCATAATGTTTATCTCAAAATAAAAAGCTCAATAAATATGTGTTATAAACAGAAATATAATATTAAATACATTTAGTAAATACTCTGTGGACAATTCAAATACAAATAGACAAAGGAAAAATATCTTGTATGTTTTTAGTACAAAATCTCAATATTAATCAGTCTATTTGTAACATGCTATTAATCTCTGGGCATGAGGGATATTTCTTTTGCAGGTGATAGTAAATGCAATATTAGTTCTGTTTTAAAATTGACATTTCAATATTTTACACCACATAGAACACACAAAAACATTTGATAAGTACCATAAAATACCATCTAGTCCCTTCTCCATAATTTCTCTGATCTTTTCTTCTAAAAACTTAAGTGGATCCTCTGGACACATAATAAATACACCACATAGAAGAGTCTGCAAAAAAGAACAGAGTAAATTAACATCTTTCACATGTCTGAAACTGTTAAGCTAAACACAACTACCAAATGAATTTTAAATCGTATAACATTTATACAATTCTTCTCTATCGTTTTATCATTCTGTTTCTTTTATTTAATTCTTATTTTAAATGCTATAATGTATGTATCAGTATATTTCAACTGGTAGCCCTCATGCCTCTGGTCATATTATAACAACAAAACATATGGCACTTCTATAGTACTTTCCACCCAAGGATCTCAAATTTCTTTAAAAGCATTACTAAATTATATCTCACAATAACCTTGTGAGGTAGAGAAGATGTGGAATTGGGTCCTTCACCAGCAACTGATCCTATATCAAATAGTTATAATGTTGCATTGCATTGGGGGATGGGGACAGTTGCTTTTCAGCAGTGAGTTATAGGACTAGCTAGCTCATTTCTCACTTATGAATAATGAACAATCTTCTTCTTTTTTATATCGCTGATGTAAATGTAGAACAACAACTATAATTTTACACTTAGATGGTTAAGCCAGATAATTGTGTCTGCAGTAGCAGAGTGTATTGCTGTGATGCCTCCTTCGTATTTGTGAATGGGGCACTGAGTTATGTATGTTCTATGGTCTGTTCTGGGTGACCACAGTTGCAAACTGGAGAGTCTTTAATTTTCCATTTGTGCAGCAAGTATCTGCATCTGCCATGGTTTGTGCGGATGCAGTTTAGGGTGGTCCATGAGTTTCACTGGAGATCGAAGCCAGGGATCTTCTGCATCGGGTCTTTCACAGGGTGTTTATTTGTGACTTCCTGTGAGCTCCGTTCAGCTTTCCAAGCTTCATCAGAGTTGAAGTTGCATTGTTGAATGTTAAATGCATGGGTCCAAAAGGACTTCCATGATTTCAAGTGATGGTGAGAGACGTTGTTAAGCTCCTGGTAGATAGGAAGACATTCATTTTCCATGATCCTCTGGAATTCTCAAAGGAACTAATTCATTATTCATTTTTTCACAAATTAAAAATAAACAAGGTTTTCTCAGTAGCACAGCCAAACAAGTACCTGGTGAGGCAATGTATAGTTATCTGCCAAAATAAAGACATATTAGAGGATATGTTGATGGACTATGTCTTTAAGTATGGCAAGAAAGATTAAATCAAACTCTATGAACTGGTTATATTACGCACATAAGGACAAATTATGGCTATATGCACACAGGAATATCCCAGAATACCCATGAAAAGAGAGAAGCACAGGGTAGAAATTTTCCATCATAACTGCACTCCTAAAACTGGAGGAGAGACCACTCTTCTGCAGATGACTATCCTAGGGCACAGTCTGCTGTTTATACAAATACTTCCCCATGCCTGGCAGTGGAAAATATAGTGCTTACCATTAAAAGGACAGCATTTGTCAACAGTCATCACACAGCAATAGCTGAGATACCAGAGTTTTTTCTATGCTGAAAAATGGAAACCCGGGTTTCCTAAGCTCTCCTCCTATTTCCACTTGCTCCATCACTGTGGACAACAGCATCATTCTCATGTTATACAGGACTGTAATATGGATGTCATCTTTGACTCAACACTGTCTCCATGTATAAATCTTGCAGCTTCGTCCTACATAACATCTCTAAGAAATGACCTACCACCAAAACTCTCACTCAGGCTCTCCTAGTTTTGCATTCTGACTATTGCAGATCTCTGGCCTTGACCCCTGCAATCTCAGCTCCTTCAAGTCCATTCAAAATGCTATTGTTTAAATCATCTTCCTGGCTTGTCATTCTGATACCTCAAGCTCTTCTCTAGGCTCCTCAATACACATTTCTTGTCTTTACCTTTAGGGACCTTCACCTTACATAGCTTCTCTGGTAACTTATCACAATGCCAGACACTGACATTCTCTGCCAATGTTCCCGAGCTTTACTGCCCACCAGTCAGCTTCTTTCTCAAAGTTTCCTTTAAACATTTTCTTCCATGCCACCCCTTGTGCATGGGGAAAACTCAAAACAGCAAACAAACTTAAGGATTGTTTCTGTCACAATGCCTACAAAAAGCTGCCAGCTGACCAAAGATAGGCAGGTCATAAGCTGTGATTCTCTCTTTACTTTAATTTCATTTCCTACTTTCTTCTTCTATCTCATTCCTACCATTCCTCTCACCCCAAAATAAAGAATAATAAAAACCCAACAAAACACATAACTAACAGAACTGTGTCAATCATCACTATGTTCACTTGCCTGTATGCTATACCCAATCCTCACTATTTTGTCTGCTGGATTCTAAACTCTCCTGGCCAGGGACTGTCTCCATCTGTCAGCACCCAGCACAATGGAGCCCTGATCCTGAGTGCAACCTTTTGGCCACTATCATAATACAAATGATTAAAAATAAAATATCAATAATACTTAAAACAGGAAATAACTGTGGCAACTGTGATATTTGCTGACCAATGTCAATACACAAACACACTATTTATTCATTATCAAAATAATCTTTACCAGGGAGGAGCAGGGTTGTATAAAGGGTCATTGCCAGTCAGAATATGGGTGTACAATAAGACTGTTTTGTCAGCATAGATATAGTCTGCTTTTTAAGACATTTCCATAGGGAAGCAGAACTAAGGAATACAAGAAACAAAAGATAAGTAACGAAATATCTTTTTCTTTAATGTATGAAACAACAAACAATGAACAACTTAAATTTACACTGTTTGAATATTTTCGTAAAATAAATGATAAATTGATTCTAACTTTAGCTTCTACTGAACCTCACTAGTAAAAAGACAATCTCCAAGATGTATCCAGATGACAATAACAGGGTGCATACAGCAATATCAACAAGTATTATAAATCCATCATTTATTATAATAATTACAATATAAATAATACGCTGTTAAGCAGAGTACTAGATATGCGGACAATATAGTGATTCTCTTCATGTGTGTTTTCACCTTAATACATTTTCCAAAAAGGACTTAAGGCTGTTCAAATACTCCCTCTGCTGGATTGAGCCAGCACCAGTCTGCTAAACTGATTGCATTTTTCATAGATTTGGAGCTCTTTTATAGCTTTTCTTTTTAATTGAATGTGCACTCCTTTTCTTTCAATGGATCTTCTAGGCAGAGTATATGTACAAAAATTTGATCAAAGAAAATGCAAAATATATAACCAAAAATTTAGATCTGGGAATTCTTTTTTAAAAAATTGTACAAGAAATAGTGTCTTACGGCCTGATCCTGCAACCCATACTCACGTGAGTAATCCTTAATGATGATAATGCCCAACACAGATGTGAGAAAAACTGGGCCTAAACAGTACAAAGGTCGGCTGGTTCTCCTTAATTTCCCCAAGGTTCCAAGTATTTCAGGGGAGACCCATTACGTATCCAAAAGAAATAAGACTTGAGATATTAATAAAGTTTATAAATTAGGAAAGTTATCCCTAACATTCAACAACTCAAATGAAAGCACAATCACACAAAAAGCCAGGAAAGAACAAATCAATCCCAAGCCTGGACTATGCTTAAAATTCAGACTGATATAACTATGTCACACAGGGGTGTGAAAAATTCATATCCCAGAGCAACACAGCTGTGCCAGCCTAACCCCCCAGTGATGGCTAGGTCCTGGCCACCACTGCTCAGGGAGGTGGCTTACATACAGTGACAGAAAACCCCCTTCTGTTGCAGAAGGCTGCATCTACATTGCAGGATTAGTGTGACATAGCTCCGGTCCCCGTAGTGTAGACAAGCCTCCAGATTCAAGCTGTTAACATTTAGACTACAATTCCAATGTCAGTTAACCACGGCCTCTTTTTTAAACTTCAGTTATTGTGTGATGGATGATACTTCCCTTCACCCAACATATACTCACACAACACATATTACCAAAACAATTAATAATAGACCTTTTACAATTACCTAATCTTAGGTAACAATTAATTTGTGCTCTTTTAGGATTACGATATTTGTTTATAACGTCTTGAAACAGTATATCACTCATTCACCTTTAAAGCTGTTTGTGTAGGAACAGAGGAACCATTTCTCTAGGCTCCATTTCTGTGTGTTCAGTAATTGTTCAAAAATTGCATACACACACTTATTCACTCATTTACATTTGTTAAATAGAATGATATTATTAATCAGCCAGGTCACCATCTGAACTGATAAAAAAAAATAAAGATTTTATACTTATGACCAGGTAGTTTGCTTGCAAACTCTTCAGCTCTAACAGTCTTCCAGATCATTGGGAAGACTAGTACTACAGACAGAGAAATTGCTAGTGAGGGTTTTGCTAATGCTGAGGGAAATTTTCTAACGCACAAAAAGACTAGTGCCTAACTCCCATTTTACTTTCCATGGGAATTAGCGAGCCTAACTTCCATTTTAGCCTTTGAAATTCTCTCTCTGCTAGCAGGTTCTGGACAATAGGAAACCAATTGTGTGCTTGCTTAGCCGGACAAGTCTTTTGTTCTCCCTTCTCCAAGGTAATGGATCTCAGGGTTCTGGAACTTCAGTCTGTCCTTCAGATATCAGGTAGTTCAAAACCAATGTTAACAGTTGCATGTCTCCATCATTCCACCCAATGGCATCATTTGACACGGTTCTAATGATATTTGAATTCAGTAATAGTCCTAAACATCATGAGCATTCCAGAATTAAGCAACAGAACGTCCTGTGGCACCTTTAAGACTAACAGAGGTATTGGAGCATAAGCTTTCGTGGGTGAATACCCACTTCGTCAGACATCTGACGAAGTGGGTATTCACCCACGAAAGCTTATGCTCCAATACCTCTGTTAGTCTTAAAGGTGCCACAGGACTCTCTGTTGCTTTTTACAGATCCAGACTAACACGGCTACCCGTCTGATACTTCATTCCAGAATTAATATGTGCCTTTTGGGGACCGTGTTAGTGATGCCTATTCTCACAATTGTAGTCTTGTGATAGTTGATGTTTTATTTGAAGCCCCAGCTGCTGGAATCAAGAGATCATTTTTAAATAATGAAAACTGAGATTCTAATGCATGCTTTTGGCCCTCAGGGCTACAGAAAAAGCTTGAAAATGTGAACCAATTGTACCCTAAAATGTGTGTGTTTAAGAAACCAAGAGTATCATCAAATATAGCAGTCATATTAGGTCATTCCATGCAACCTGCCTCAGAAAAATCCTCCGTATCTTTTGACCCAGAACAATCTCAAACCAAGATCTATTGACACAGTGCAGCCAAGAGGATCTGAGCACCATCATTGTCGGAGGCATTGGAGATGGATCGGTCATGTGCTTTGGATGGAAACTGATTCCATCACCAGAGTAGCAATAAGATGGATACCTGAAGGCAAGCGAAAACGAGGCCACCCGAAAACAACATGGCGAAGAGCTGTGGAAGCCAAGCTGAAAAACCTGGGGCACAGCTGGGGAACCATTAAAAGACTTGCCAAAAACAGACAGGAGTGGAGGAGCTTCGTCACTGCCCTAAATGCCAGAGGTGTAATAGGAAAATGATGATGATGATGATGATTAGGAGATACCAAAGTTAACGGGCTAGGGGAATGGCTGCTCTACAGTTATTCTGATTAGTAAAGAGGTTTTGACCAAAGTTTCCATAGCAATCCTGGCTACAAGTTTGGTCTGTTTGCAGAAGATTATGAACACCCAGCAAAAGTGTCTTTCACTTTTATCATACATGGTGTCTTTATTTTGTTTCTATTAAGGAAATTGAAATATGGCTGCTGCATAGTTTCAAATGATTTTCATAGGGAAGAAACTAACAAAAATTAAAAGGGTAGGAGAGAATCAGGTAACAATGCTAAGGCTAAAATTATATATTCATTTGACTATCCTTACAACATTCAAGACTTCAGATAAGTTTTCTCTCCCCTGCGCCATGGTGTCAGGGACACGCTGTGACAGACTCTGAGTGCTGTTGCAAGCCCAGCCTGTCTCGCAATCGGTGCTAACACAGGCTCAGCCGCACGCGGGTCTCGGCACCAGCGCCGCCGGGGGCCCGGCCCCACGCGGTCCTAGGCCCCTCGTCACATTTAGCCAACAGTGCTGCAAACCCCAGCGCCTGTTTGCGGGGCGGGGCCGGGCCGGAAGGCAATGTGGGGGCAGCTCCGTCCTCCCCAACTCAGCCTGCAGCTGGAACCCTTTGCTCCGCGCCCAGCCGCGCCGGCACCTGCGCAGCGCGGCTCCTTTACCTCGTAGACATCGAGGAGCCTGTGGTGCTTGAAGTATACCCTGAGCGTGGGGTCCGCGTTGCGCAGGGAGGACATGGTCGAGTCGGGCCCTTCCGGGACCTCGCGGCCTCCTACGGCTAAGGCAGCGGCGCTCCCGGTCGCCTAGCAACCCGCTGCCACAGGTCCAGCCACTCACCGCCCGCCCTCCTTGGGCGCCTCAGCTCAGAGTACGGCGGGGCCCCACAGGGAGGGGAGGGTCGGGTCGTGTCCCGCCCCCCACTCGCCCCATCGGGACTATACCCCCTCCCCAGTCACCCCCATCCTGACTCCGTTCTTGCCCTGCCCCTACCCATCCCAACTCTATACCCATGACCCGCACCACCTCACCCCAACCCCCACTCAGCCCATCCCAACTCTGAACTGCCCTGCCCAGCACCCCATTCACCCAGCCCAATTCCATTCACGCCTGCTGCTCCGAGCCCCCACTCACCCATCCCAAACCCAACT